GGACAGCCCACTGTTGGTGGTTGTGGTTCTAGCATTTGGATGTTGGCTCTCCAGTTTCCAGGTTTCCTCGTCTCCCATTCCCTCTCTACTCCTTCCTGTGCGGTTCGCTCTCTTCGTCCTTCCCCACCGCGCTCCCTCTCACTTCATATCTACGTCAAAGTCCAGGACCAGCAGCTTGGTCTCCTCTGTGCCGTTGCGGCTACCAACCGCGCACACCAGCTTGGTGTTGGAGGCCCGGATGCGCCACACCACACCGCCGCTTCCGCCACTTTCCAGAGTCACCAGGTTACGGATGAACTCGCCAGTCTTCAAGTCCCACAGTTTGACCGTGCCATCGTCCGAGCTGGTGATGACAAAGTTCTTGTTGAACTGGAGGCACGTCACGGCGCTCTGGTGCTTGTGAGGACCTGAAGACACAAAGATAATTATATTTAGTGGGACGAGGTAAAGAAAAGTCTTTTTTTTTTTTATGGCTTAAAACATTTACATTCAGGTTAAAGTTTCCAGTAAATGTGTCTGGATCAGTCAGGTCCTAAAACCTGTAACATAGGGGAATCCCTTCCTACCAAAGCTCGTGGAAAATGTTGGTCAAACGTGCTAGTCTACTGGCAAATAAAGAATGGGTGAATTTAAAAATAATGAAGAACCCAGATACAGGGAAAGATCTGAAAGCAAGATCTCGGTCAGCCTGTGAGCTGAAAGAAGAGCTCTTACTCCTGACGGTGCTGTGACAATGAGATCTTCGTACAGCTGGCAGGCTTTAGGACGAGCTGCCAGGGCTCATTCCTGTCTGTCACAGACGCTAAGCAGCTTCAGCGACACCTTTGTCTGGTCTGTTTGGTGCCAGTACATACCGGTTAAAGCGTGTAGTGGCTGAAGTGAGTTTATTTGTGACTGTATGCGTGACTCCTTCAGGCTTGAAAATCATACCTTAATTAAATCAATTAAAGCGAAAACAAAAACGAGTGCAGGCAAATGAACTGATTTTGACTGAATTGTGAGCTCAGATGCATTCAGATACACAACCTTTCACAGACGAAACCTGCTGAAATCTCTGAACAAGCGTTCACATCTTTTCTGTTTCAGTCTCTGATTAGTTCAAAGGCTGAGTTATTTACCCGGCTACACAATACTGCTCTGCACCAACCCCCAGCTTGCCTGTCTCTCTCCTCCCTCTGCTCTTCCCATTACCACAACAAAGCACTCTGCTCCATCATTACCTATGCGCTCTCGAGCTGACAGTGACAGCCTTGTTGTTGGCCTATTGTCTTATCAAAACACACTAATGAATGGCAGAAATTGTCTGCTGACCTAATTATATGACCTACAAAGTTCCCGGGCCTTCAGTCTTTTACTGTAGTCACCTCTCTTCACCAGACAGACCCACAGTCTCCCTCCCTGAACGCCGTCCCTCCTGCTCTCTTAAGGCTCTTATACGACCATCCTTTGTTGGGCTGCTGTGTGCGCTGTGGACGCAGCACCCGCATGCGGGTTTGGAGTTTACTAATGAGGGCGGTTAGGAGCGGGGCACTGCTGGTTGCCACTGCTATTCAGCCAAAGGATTTCCAACATCCTGTGAGGCACCAGTGCTGCTAATGGAGTTAGAACTATTCAGACACAAAGGAAATGAGACTGTAATCAGGACCAGCAGGCTTGCAAGGTGTTGGCTCAGTTCTGCTCCACTTACACACACAAACAGGTAATTTAGATGGATTTTTAATTGGACTGTCAGTATCAAACAGAGTCCCATCTAATGTGTTTTTTGTTGTTGTTATCCTCCAAGGCTAGCATTGCCACTTTTCTACACTTTAAGTCATTTATTCATGGATCTATAAGTCTACATTTCAGTCTGCACGCAAGTTGTTTTGCAGCCACCTTGGGTGTAGCTGCTTTGAGTACAACATAACCAAGTCTAGTGGTATGAAAACACGGCTGCAGAAGCACATCAGGACAGGACAGAAAGTTAAGAGAGAAAGAAAATATAAGAGTTACATCCCCAAAATCTCTGATGTAGCCTGGCTGTCCTGTCACATGAGACCTTTGTACTGATTTTTACTGTAAGGTCTGCCCATAAGACTCACATCTGAAATTATTTTATTAGAAGAAAACAGCTAAGAGTTTGGCATCTGATCTCATGACTCCCAGCAAATAAACACAGAAATTTGGAAGTGATAAGCAAACATCCTCCAACAACACCCAAAAACGTTGGAGCCACTAAGGTCAGGCTCTTCTGAGTGGGAGACAATGCACCAGCTGCTGTGTGAGTACTCAGCTGAATGCAGTACAAAGAACACTTATTCTTTTAGGGTTTATCCAAATAGCAGTAAATGTGCAGCAGTTTCGTAGGCATCCTACAACAATGTTTTGCCCGTGTGTCGTCCTGGAGACTTCCATTGCAGCAACAACTACCCGCAGCTTTGCCAACATGATGGACTCAGAAAAGTGTGAGATGTAGTCATGAAAAGTTAAAATTGTCATTAAAATGTAATTAGATTTCAATAACAGCTGAGACAGCCTCTGGTTTTCCAGAAGTTTTACAGTAACTCTCACACTGTTCATACTTCACATTCCTCACCTTGCAGTGTTTGGAGGCACTGGCCAGTCTTGATATCCCAGATCTTGACAGTGGAGTCTGCATTGCCTGAGACCAGGATGTTGTCTTTGAGCTCCATGCCACTGGTGAGGGACTGGTGCCCCGTTAGCGTGTGGATGCAGTTGCCCGTCTCCACGTCCCAGACCCTTATAGACGTATCCAATGAGCCGCTCACGACGTGAATCCCGTCGAACTGCAGAAACAATGAATACGTTTAAATTGTCTGAAAATCAAACGGCCGCTTCTAGAAGCCACTTGAAGTTGGAGTTGACGGCAAAAGCACCTTACATTTCAACACTGCGTACTGTGTTTCTATTAACCTTAGACTAAACCCATTTAAAATGGATGCACAGTATTGATCCGTTAAAGCTTTTCTGCTGCTTCCCAAATCTAGTTGGAGAGAACCAACACTTTAAAAGTCTATCAAAGCAGCATGGCACAAAAACCAATCTATCAGTGCAGTAATCAGCCTCCTCTGTGAGGGTTATGGCACCAGCTAAAGTGCTCTGTCATCACACAGAGTGGATGAGAAGAGAGGACATATTAGAGGACAAACGGGTATAAACTTTTTTCCCCCACTTCCTCCAAACGAACAAACATCACACATATATGCTGGGACATAATAAATTAAGAATATAGAATTGCACATGAATATGAGAAAGATAAAGGACTAAAAAATTCATGCAAAAAGACAGATCTGTTGTTTTTGTGCACCACAGGTTTAAAGCAATTGCCTGAGCCTAACAAGCAATATTTCACTCCACAGAAGTCCTTGGAGGACACGCAGCAGTGAACTTCCTACAGTTTAGGACAGTTAAGAGGAAAAGTGTACAGTAAAAAGGCCCGTTTAGAAGCTCTTCATTTAAAATTAACCTGTGTACTCTTAATAGCACAAAACACTCAGGTGACACAAACATATGACAACTGCCATGAGCATGAAAGCATCTTTATGACTGTTTTCCCTTAAGTGTTACTTGAGTCACCTATTGTTGCGTCACCAAAGTTTGGGGATCAAAAAAGGAAAAGTTCGAGGTAATCAGTTTGCTGCTAATTACACTGTTATTTCAACATTTAAAGAACAGAAGGTCAAACCTAGATTTGCATTTGACATAACTAGTTTTCAGGATTTTCTCCACTTGTTTTTAACACAAAAAGGTGTTAAAACATCCACTGTCAAGGCACACGGTTCTTAATTTGCTGGTGTAAATCAAAGACAGCCTGCAACTATCAACTTAAAGAAATTATGCATGCCCACTGTGCCAAAATGTCTTTCAGCCCTTCAGTCTTTTGGCTTGTAGTTCTTTTCAAGAAGTTAAGCAGAGCTTTGATAAACTTTTCCTTTAACACAGAGAGATGTAAGGCGTCATGTAAGGCATCTTCCCTCATGACAAAAATCATGAAACTTTCAGCTTAATGGCAGATTTTTCCATGTCAGAACCACAGACATCGTTTCTGTAGTTCCTCCACTCACACTGCTGTGGTCATTTTACGTTACCCTACACAGACACTTGATTAGTTACACCTGTTGAACTACTCACAAATATCTAACCAGCAAATCACATGACAGAAACTAGATATGACAAAGATGACCTGTTCAAACATAACATCAGAATCGGGATGAAACCATCCAGTGAGCAGAAGCTCTCTGGGTGAAAATGCCACCCACAGAACTTCCACCAATGGTGTAGGAGAGGTGTCACATTTGCAGAAAAGATTGGATATTGTAATTTTGAAATGTTTATTTAAATTTTCTCCCATTCCTCCAGTACATCATTATTTCTACCACAGAAAACTTCCACCATCTCTGGCCTATGCTGCCGTGCTGAGAGAGAAATGCATGCATAAAACTAACGACTATATTATGTTTGACAAATTGTAAGCAACAAGCTGTGTTTTTAGTAGATCACTCAAACCCACATGTGTTTGCTTGCCACCTTAATCTGTCCTACTCTCATTAAGGCTGAGATGAACTGGTTGCTCATAAATTCTGGTAGAAAGTCACGCACACAACCTGCTTGCTTTATGCTGATTGGAGCCTTGTGCCATTTCTTTTAGATTAGCAAATCCAGCCCTTTGACAATAGTCAAACATGGTTAAAGCCTCTTTTATGCTCACATCAGTCTTACAGACAGCCCTTACAATAATGTAGTTAGACGAGTTCTTACATATATGGACCTAAAAACTACCAACCGCATCTGATTTATTGTGTCATAAACGAGAATGTTTTTATAGGAGTTCTCAAAGACTCTAAAACAAGTAACTCGTACATTTCATTTGGCTCCAAGGTTGATTGGTATACACCAGTCTTTTCTTTAATGCTGTGGGAGGCCTCACCTGTAATGAGTACACTCTGTTTGTGTGGCCTTGCAGCGTGTGGAGGCAGGTCTCCATCTCGGGGTCCCAAACTTTCACCATGAAGTCGTAGGCACCGCTGACCACCCGTCGCCCGTCATACTGGACGCAGCGCACTGCCGCCACGTGGCCCATGAGGACGTGTAAACACTGACCTGAATCAATGTCCCAGACGCGCAGCGTGGCATCACGAGATCCACTGACCACCCTGCATGACACAAACGCAGACAGTGAGAAAGGTAACCGTAGCAGAACACAGATATTCAGGAGAGATTCAGGAATGAATATTGATGAGTACGGGTGCAGTAATCAGTTCAAACCACCGTGAATTCAATAGCTGCCTTTATGCTGAGCTGCTTTCCCACAGATGTAACGTGCATTTAAAGTCATCCATTCTCCAAGATTAAATTCAATACTCTACACAACTGCTCATTCATAATATGGTAAATGCACTGACAGAATAATGAGGCACATATGCACGGATCCACACTACTCTGACAATGAGTGACCCACAGCATCACATTCATGCTCATACATGAATGTACAAATAAACCCCCACACCTGTCTTTAACAGCCGCCCTGATCTGTGCATTCACCCTGAATGGAAAGATATATTACCGGTTACAGGAAGAGAAACTCCTTTTAGAGTGACAGTTACTCAAGTTGAACATTTTTCAGATTATCACACTTAAGGTCAATACTTTCATCAGCTTCAAGACTCTTCAGTAAGGACTAAGACGCATTTGACCTTAAATTTTCTACGGACTGTTTCAATTTAGCCAAAAATAAATAAATACATAGAATAAAATAAACCAAAACATGCTGTAGATACACACAGCCCATTCTCTATTTATTAAACGCCTCACGGTGCTACACAGATAGAAATCACCAACATGTTATTTACCATCTACCAGCAGCTCACAGCATTTCCACTGAGTGAGTAATCAAATGCTACACAAAAACCTTGGTGGGCCCTAAGGCGAAAAGAGCACTTCGAGTCTCCAGAGTGTGATACTGAGTGAATAAGTGAGCAGCAGTTCACTTAAGTCGCCTCACAGGGTCCATTTAATCACTATGAAACCACATGCTCTCTTTCATAGATGCTGTCCTCTTTTACCGTTGTACAGTTGCTCTTATTTACCAGATGGGATGGCTGTAAATGTGGGTGTGATGAATCATAAGGAACATTCAAGGATTAATCTATCCTGTTTCTCTTATTTCTGAAAGTTATATGGTCAAGCTTTTTTTTTAAACACCAATTAAAACAAATATTTATCCCATAGAGTACAGTAGAGCCAAAAAAACATGTGAAACGTGAGTTTATGAGCTTTGGAGATGCTGCTGGACTGCTGTAAATGTTTGAGACAGACAAATTCACTGTTTCTGCCAAGCTATGCTAACCAGATGCTCCCTGTAGCCTTACATCTAAAAAGCAGACAAAAGAGGCACTGGTGCCTAATATGCTGTATGCAAGCAAAAAAAAAAAAAAAAAAAAAGGGGGGGGGGGGGGAGAGAGAGAGAGAGAGAGACTGAAGTAAAATCGTATCCTTTGTTATGCAAATTATGAAAAAAAAAAGGTTTCATTTAATTCTTATTAGCGCTTGAAGCCAATTTTGAAATCCATGAACAAGGTCAGGCAACATGTTTGGACCTTTTTCTACAAAAGGATGTCCGATTCTCAGTCAATGCCTCAGATGGGCTCCTCATCCCATCCATCCTGGATCATTTGTAGGGCAAGGTCCCCAGGGATTCTAGCTGGCCTCATAGCAGCCATGTTACTTTAGATATTAAAAAAAAACCATCAGAAAGTACAAAGTTTGAAATGCACAGGAAACTATAAACAGGGCTGCACATAAATGGTCCGCAGGTGTGCATTCACTGTCAAAATAATAGACACGCACCAGATATAAAGTTGGAACACGCATTTGCGTACATAAGATGTTCTGAATGTTATGTTATGAATATATTACAACTTTTCATTTTAAAGATTTTGAAGAAAAACAACATCTAAGGGTTAAACAAAACATGACAATTTCTTAAACAGGAAGGCGCACAGTTTCACACAGCAGTACACAATTGGCAAAGCTCACTACAACACTAATACTGACCCATTTAAGGAGGCCACTAACAAAACTATTATTTTCAGAGATTGCTATATCAATAGCACAAAACGCTTTTCTGTTTATCTAAAACGCAAAGAAAATCAGTTTAATATCACACACGAGCGATGAAAGCAACAATTTTTAGAGTGGAACCTGGTAGTATTTGATAAGTTTAGCCTGAAAAAAAAAAGGCTTTAACTAAATTTATTATGAAAAACATTTCGGGCAAATCTTCATCTCATCGAAAGCATCATAGAGCCTTCAAGCTTGGGCTTAAAGCACAGCAGTGAGCTGCTCCGTACCTTTTCTCATGTAGGTGCATGCAGCGCACTGTTGAGGTATGCCCATAGAGGGTGTGGATACATTCTCCCGTCTCTGCGTTCCAGACCTTGAGTGTGCGATCAGTCGAGCCGCTGATGATAATGTTGTCTCGCATCTGGGATGACCACACGCCCCCTGTGTGGCCCACCAATGTCCGCAGACACTGAAGAGGAGAAGAAGGAGAGTCTTGATCAGGATTCCTGATGGACAGTACAGACTTCTGATGTTAGAAAAGTTCATTTGAAAGGCATTTGGGGTGATGGCATTCATACATATCAAAGCTCAGCTTAAGAATTCATAAAATCTCATTCGGGATTTTCTCTTCCTGCGTGCCCTCTCGCTGCCTTCAGGGGGGAAAAAAGGGAAAATTTAATTTGACATTTTACAGTAAGGAAAAACTGAGTCCACACTTGCTGCTGCCGTGCTGGGACAAAACCTCCCAGAGCTCTGCACAAGATTTAACGTAACTTTCAGAAAGTGGCCAAATCATTTGCAGGAAGGGTTGATGACAGTCTTCACTAAAATGTCTCCATTCATCCCCATTAGGGACAGGAGATTAGTTATTGATTACAGCACTTTCTGATCAACTCAATCTATGTCGAAGCACTTTGTCCCATTTGAGCCTCCCAAACGCATTCAATTTAAATTCTTTTAGGGAGGAAAAAACTGTAGAAGTTGCAGCTGCTGTGCTCATGTCAAGTTTAGAGTGGAGTCTGCCACTGAAATGTAACCCCCCAGAAAACCTTCGGTGTTTGTGCACACATTTTAATTTCCATTAGTGATGAATGAGCGATACTGCTGCGTAACACTCAACTACAGGCCTGCAGTTTATTACATCACGCTGGGGATACAATAATGCAGGATTTTTCCCATAAATCAAAGCCTCCAAGAACGAGAGTGTGATTAAAGCCTTCTCAAACACTACGTGGGAAGAGAGAATATCTGAAATGAAGGGCTTAGGCATCTTTATCTGTCTGTGAAACAAACATAAAATAAGCCGGTTCCAAAAGAATGAAAGAAGATTAGCGCTCGTTTAATGAATGTGTGAAGGCCTGCCTTTTTTTCCTGTTTTAAACACATGAGGGTTTTCATACAATGCTTTACATTTGCTTCAGATCTCCTCTTGGTTTAAAAACTGTGGCGGGGGAGTATCCGCTTTAGCAACCTGAGAGCTGGCCTCATTGAAAGACAAATGCAGGAGATTTCCCTTTGTATTGAACAGCCCACCTTTCAAGACCTCAAATATGAGAAAATGTGGGCCAGATGTAGGGCTCAATGTGGGTTCAACTAATGCTTAGCAAAGGTTAAAATAAACTGGCTCAGGTGAAGCCATCAGATAATTATAGCTTGATACCAGATGATTAAGAGATTACTGCGGCTATAGTTTCATTTCCATACTTGACTGTTTGACAGTAGAGGAACAAGAGGTTACAAATGTCTCAAGATAGACTATGAAACGCATAACCAAAGCGGCAGGCTGACAGAGTCTTACTAATGTGTTCTTCCCCTCTCTTATTTGCCTTTTCCATGTCTTGTGTTGATGATTTGATGACATGGTTTTGATCTACTGTTTGTCTCCAAGTACTAAGTGGATAATACAGACGTGTCACATAAGTATGAGTAATCACACGGTGCTTCCTCCACAGAAAGAGTGAGAGGGGAAAAAAAAAGAGGCTTCATTATGAATGCACAATATTCAATCAGCTGAGGATAAGAATCTTGATACAGGTTGATCTACATGGAGAAATAATCCATACTTTCATTTAATTAATGATTTCAGATGCTTGCTAATCAGTCTGTTAACAGTTCTAAAAGCCACCTCTAATCTGTGGATCTCCCCTTGTTTTCAGTTAAAAACAGGGGACGTGTGTCAATGCGGCTAAAGAGTCTCGCAGAGGACACCTCTCCCTGAATACGACGGTAGTCCGCAGCTCTGCCATCTTAAATCTGCCTGACAGCTGAGGCTGCCTCTGACAGGCACCACCAAGGACACACTCTGCTCTGTTAAGCACAAGGTAGCCACCTTTGAAGCAGCAAGATGTGTTTGTTTGTGTGCTTGGATGGAAGATTGACGTCCCCGGCTGAAGCTGGAGACAAGCAAAGACAAAGGTCCATCCAGCCAAAGACTGAGCCTTCAAGAACCGTCTATGCAACAGTTTCTTCAGCAGAAAAAAGAAGCTTTTTGAAGATCTGCCAGACCAAACGTCTCCAAGATCCAGGAGATAATGTTATACTGTTTAAAATTTAAGCACTGCTTGCTTCTTGCAGTACTTCCACCATAAATAAAACCCACTGTCTAACCTGATTACTAGCTAGCAACCCAGTTTTGTTCCAGGTGTGGAAGTCTTTATATAAAATATTCTCATATAATAATTCCCTGATTACCTCACAGAACGGGTTCAAGTCGCCATGTTTTACATAACAAGATGAATCGAGGGGCAGGACAAAACTAGCTGCAAAGATGAAAAGGCAAATGCTGGTTGTGGTGTTTGTTAAAGCTCTATTTTTGCAGGAGTAACTGCATCTGATGAATATTTGTTGAGCAATTAAAAATTTAGGCCATGCTCATGCAAATGAGGCTTATTAATATAATGCACACTTTCTATGCTAAAAAAATACCTAATGAGTTTGAAAAATACATAATTCACAAACAAATCTGGGAGACAAGAGGGTATTGTCAACAGATTCATTAAACAGCCGATGGAAACATCTGATCGGATGCAGTATTTGGTGTAAAGACAACACTGAGAACATTTTGAATGCGGCAGCCTTTGAGTCACCCCACAGTATCCCATCACAGGGGAACTGTACCGATGCCTCTAAAGTGGAGGCAATGTTTCTGAGGCAGAGGAGCACAAACAGGAGGGAAGCGTTAATAGTGGTCTCTCTTTGGCACAAATTGTCTACGCAGTGACCAATTTCTTTTCCCATCCCGACCTTTTAAAATCACCCACCTGCAAAGCATGCTGCTGCAGGTGGATCTCTGCACTCTCCTGGAGAAAAGGTAACCACGCTGATCTCTGAGCCAATTTACCTTTGTAATCTATAACCAGTCACCAAACTCATTACTGATTTGAGGGTCTACTTCTGACCCCGAATCAAACATACCGTCCTTTCAGAGCATGATGAAAAAAAGGGAAAAAAAAGTATAACACAATCCCAGTTTCTCATCTCAGCTGATCACCATGCTGCAGTCTCTTACTGATCCAGGTCTCAGTAAGAGTTAAGTGTCAGGGCTGTAGAAGTAGAGACTGGGTGACTGTGCTTTGCTGAAGTTGAAAGATTTGTTTACAAAAAGGTGCACGAAATTCAAATAAATCACTACAAAAAAATTACAGAGAAAAGATAATGGCTACAATCTTGGGAGACGTGCAATATGACAACCCCCACCCCACCAAAAAAAACCCAAAGTACAAGAGAAATGATATTGATATGAACACTGGTAGTTACAGCCATTGTAAGCTGTGTATCACTTCAAGATCACTGACAGCCACTTTACAGGCCTGCATCTCAGAGACAAACTAAGAAAAAGTAGCAATCAAGTCTTCAAACAAGCTGGCAAAGACTATAAAGAATTCTGACAGCAGGGAGAAAAAACAAATCCAGGGGCCGGTAATCTCATTGTATTTTTACTTTACAGTTTTACTGGCATCGACAGCCACTTCACCGAAATGGTCGATTCGGCTTAACTAGCCATTCCTCTCCAGTGAGGGATTCACTCTCTGTGGTGCTGAGAGCTAAGGAGGCAAAGAGATGAAATCCACAGAGGGAATGTGTGCTCTGAATACAGCAACCAAACACGGATTTAGGCTCATCTCGCCTTCATGACTAATGTAAACAAACAATCCTGAGGCAGATTAGCATTGTAGAAAGCGCATACAATAACCTCTGTCTGTGATGTCATTCTGAATGCAGGGTGGGTTGAGGAGGGGGAAAAAAAGCTTTAGAGCCTGCTGGTGATGTGACTCATCACAGGCTTCCACCACCAATATGGAGCTACTGCAGCTATAATTCAGCAACCTGTCATCCAGATATTAGTCTTTGGGTGTAGGAGAGCCAAACTGTGCTCCATGCCTATCGGATGACCTTGGCGAGATCTGTTCAGATCAGCAAATGTGACTGTGACTGATATGCATGTAATCACCAGTTGGGGGAGAGCCAACTTTACTTTATGTGTTCAGCCGAATCTCCGCAGCAATGAAAAGCAAACTCAACTCTTTTACATGTGAAAGTGAGGCCGAAACAGCCCACTGTGCTCATGCAGAACATCTTTTTTTTTTTCCCCTTTGAGAAGTTTTGCTTTGAAAGTTTTCATTTTTAAAGACCAAGTTAAAGCCCAGCCTTATGTCATTTATCTGAGTAAAAAAAAAGCAAAAGGGATAGACTGGGAAGAGAAATAATCAAGGACTTTTTGTGAAAACTTCTTTTGAGACAGGAGTCCAGCATTGAGGCATGAAAGTGTTGTGATTTACCACGATCTGTAAAGCGCTCTCCAATATCACAGAGCATCCACTGCCTTTCTTTTTAATACACAGCGTAAAGCTGCAGCACAACGCCTGTGTGTCTGCACCAGCTTCAGCTATGAATACTAACACCGCGTGTGGACATGGGCTGTGTTACAAGTCTGCAAAATAGATAAATATAAGAGAGGAGAGGCTGGGACAGAAAGCAGTCTTCCCAGGAAGATTTTTATGTGGTAGTGTAACGCAAAATTATATCAGTGGGAGCACTAAAGATACAGTATTTAAATCAATTTAACACAGTTGTTTCCTTCACTTCTAATCAATGAGTGTAAAAAGTAGTATGATTAAGCAAACAGCCTATTATTCATATTAGTGCCTGCCTCCCTTCTCTTCTGCTCTAGGTTTAAAGCGTACATCCAAAATGTAACAGTATTCAACTCTTACCTTTCCTGTGATAGCTGACCAGACTTTCAGCGTGTTGTCGTCAGAGCCGCTGACGATGCGATTGCCACAGAACTGGAGGCAGGTGATCACATGGTCATCGTGGCCTTTGAGCACCTTTAAATGGGACACATGAAAAGAGATGAAGCGGGAAGGGCACGGAGGAAGATTTGATGTGGAATGACAACGCAAATAATGATGCTGACAGTAACACTTCTTATGCATCAAAGTGAAAATGTCATCAAGTGCTGCAGGTGTACACAGCGCTTTAAGCAGTGCTGCATACATTCCGTCTCAGCTAGTGGGTCACAGGACTGCGAGCTCAGCAACTGACAGGGCACACTGCATATGCAAAGGACTATAACGAGCGTGGGGAACTAATTTATGCCAGTCGCAGCCTAAAATGACCTGCAGCCGTTTCACAAACAGCTACAGCGTACAAGGTCCATTAAGGATGAGCTTCAGCATGCTGGTCATGCTCTATGAGAAGCTTCTGAACAGGTAAAAGAGACGGCGAGTCTTTAATGTGAAGGAGAATAAGATTTTCCTGTGCTCCAGCTCAATTAATATTCCAAACAAATACCTGGGACCACAGACATGACTGTTCACTAACTTTCCATCAGTTTAACACTTCAGACTCTTATTGAACCATCTTTCTGGGCCTCAAGGCCATTTGATCGGATCTGTAAAACTCCTCTAACCTGTGGGGAATTTAAGTTCGAAAGAAAAACTACCTTAGGTGATTTGAGGTCCCCTCTCCTCCAGTTAGTGTCTATTCTGTGCTGCCTGATGTAGGCACTCTTCCAGGGGCTGTGAGTGAAGCCAGGCTTGACAATTTTTCTCTTCTTCAGGGTAAGGGGCTCATCGATACCTGTGAGAAGGGAGAAAAGAAGCCAGTTGGACTAAAATGTCCTTGTTTTTCAATAAAAGTGCATTTTCCAAACAGGAATAACCACAATTTTAAGCACAGCAGTCGCCTCAGACTGCTCCCGCTGGGCGACTGCATGGTGTCTGTCTGCCTGCATCTGTTGCAAACAGTTAGGCTCACCCTCTTCCCTGCATTTCTCCCTCCACAGCAGGTTGTCTTCTGCAAGGATGCGCCAGTAGCGACACGTCTGTGCTGCTTGGAGGAGGTCCTTCGGTTCCAGGAATGACAGCACGTATAAAGCCAGCTGTTGAAAGACAAGGACGAGCAATGTGAAAGGTGTAAAGCAGTAATGGGGGGGAGGAAAAAGAAACTATAACTTTCTACAGTTGATGTAAACAACAGTTTAAGGTGACATACATAACATACATTTTCAATAACCTAATGGTCAATTATATGATGTACATTTACAATGTACATCATATATTGACCAAGAAGAACAGACTAACAGTTTACAGCTTGACCAGGAGAGACAGGATTAGAAATGAGTACATTAGAGAGACAGCTCAGGTTCAGCTGTTTGGAGACAAAGAGAGGGGCAAAGCTGAGACGGTTTGGACATGTGCAGAGGAGGGATAGTGAACATACTGGACAAAGGATGTTGAAGACTGCCAGGTAGGAAGATAAGAGAAAGATCGCAAAAAAGGTTCATGGATGTAGTGAAGGAGAACATGCAGGTGGTGGTGTGAGAGAAGAGGATGCTAGGGATAGGGTGAGATTGAAGCTAATGGGATTAGCCAAAAGCAGAAGATGACAGGTCTACTTTTTTAGTCTTGTGAGATGAAAACCTGGATGATTGTTTCCAGAAGTCCTGTTTCTGTCCATCCAAACTCACATTAATGACTTTTCAAACTAAAACTATCCCCCAAAAGTCAGGGTTTAAAGTTGTGACATGGTGTGGGTTCTAGGCATAAACGCAGCACACATGATAAAATTAAAGTGTTTTAGTGTGAATGTGCTGAACAAATATAGGAGAATCAAAAGGAATAAGGGGGGAAAAAATCTAAGAAAACAAATGCAGGATAATTAGTGTAGCTTGTACAACAGTCATTGAGATGAGTCGACATGTCTGTACATTGAGCTTCTCAGCGCAGGTATAATGCTACAGCTCATTGAACCAAATGAGCATAAACCAGAAAGACAATCACCTGCTTTTTTGTTCCACTAACAATCAAATTCAAATACATATATATTTGCACAAAAGCAATGAGCTGGATCACCTGTTAGGTCAAGAGATTGTTGTGCATCTGCATAAAAAAGGATTACGGGTACATTTGACAGTATGAGGCGTAAGCTGCTGTGTAAATATTGTTCTTTCATTATCCGACAACAACATGAGATGACAGCGACCCCACGACAGAGTAACAAATTCAGGTGTGTTGCCACGAACATCAGCATAGAGTCAAATTACTTAGGATGGTCTCCAGCTGTCAATTATTATTGATCTGAAAAGTTTACAGAAAAATGTAAAGACATCATATATAATTTCTGACAGCTCAAAGTGATGTGCTCGTATTGCTTTTCCATCACAGCCAATTAATCAGTTGTCTTCTCCATTTTAATTAATGATGGATCCATAATAGTGACTGAGAATCTGTCTATACTCTATTCAGCTATAGTGAATTAACATGCTAGATTCATCCACACAAAATTAATCAGTCAAAAGTAAGTCTTAATTTGTTCAATCATCTCTTCTCCTTGGTTTAAATGTGTTACACTACACAGTTAGGTCTACTTCAAGTCACCGTTATACCTGAATCACCCCAAAGCCCATCTAAGCCGGCCATCATTACAAGCCGGAGGATATTTTAATAGTTTTATAAATCAATCTCAAATTGCTTTTAAAGTCTGACACTCAGCCTTCTGCAGAATCTGTTCATAGTTTCAATTTCGACTGTATCTCAAGTGTAACCCACAGGGACCGTCCTGCTAAAATTACTTGACAGCCACACCTAATATTTTTCCTGGAGCTGGATCTAAGAGGAGAGGTGGGATTATCAAAAGAAGTCAAAGCCGCTTGTTGTTGCTGTTGTTTGGTTTCTTTGCTCATTTTTCTTTTAAGAAGAAACAGAATGAAAGGAGAGGTCTCATGTACCGGTGCAAACACACATAAAGCTGTTTGTATATTTGGCTTTAGAGCAAGTGACACCAACACCTTGAAATGTTGCATCCTATTGCCTCACTCTCCACGCTACCCCCACCCACCCTCAATCCTGACACCTGCCAGACAAGGTGTGAAGTCTCTGATCTGCTACACAAGCTTCAGCAAATTGAGGCCGATTTGGTAAGAATCCCCTATGTCACATTATCAGCGTGCCACTTTACATTGTTTGTTTTGTCAGTTATGATGTAGAGCAAAAAACAAGACACCCACTATGGATGCCCTAAAATGATGCGAGGGAAGACTGCGACAGACGATCAAGGCTGAGACGGCTGCCTTGTGTCTTTTTCAGGTGCGTTCATTCGAGAACAAATATAAAAGCTTCTTGTGGGAGTTCAGGTCAGAATACACAGGAAGCCGAGGCAGAGGGGACGAGGCGCGTGAGGGGAACTCACTTCTTTGGGCAGCAGGGAGATGAAGTCTCGCTGAAACTGCGGCTCGATCACCTGCATCATATGCTTTACTTGTGTGGGCTCACAGCTGTCAATCAACTCATCCAGCGCCAGCAGCTTCTCTGGGCCAGTCCAGCTCTGGAACACACACACAAACACAAAGAGAGAGAAAATTGAAATTATTCAAATGACTTTACTTTGAAGAGGGGAACCATTAAATGTGGCTGTTTCAAAGTCGAAGCCTGGGTCAATGGGAAAAAAGGCCAATTTAATAGAAAACACCAGAGGTGCAATGGTGTCAGTCATGTACAGAACATCACAGCAAAATGTAATGTTATTTTAGATCAAAACTTTCTCCCTCGCTGCTACATTATGTATTATGCTTAGGAAAAAAATGTATGACAAGAAGTTAATTTTAAATCTAGGGTTTACAGAGCTTCTAGCAGGATTTGATGACTTTGCAGCAACATAAAAAAAAGAGGAGCTTTATGGAGTTTTCTTGTAATTTACCTTGAAGCCTAATGAATGTGTTGAATGCATTTGGTTTCCCATAAAACAGATGCAAAACTTTTTCTTCCTTCAATTTAAATATAGGATTGTGTCTTGTGTGTGCATGAGGAGAGGAAAGAAAACAGTGACCCACTTGTAAAAACATTTCTTTGCAGCCAAGTTAGAGGCAAGTTAAGAGATTACCCAGAGGAACCGAAGGTTTATGTTAAAATAATATGACTTTAAAGTGATTTTATGAACTTTGCTTTTATTTATCCAACCACAATAACTGTCCCTGCAACTTTTACAAACATTACAGGTACCTTCGCTGCTTTTATTCCGGTCTGTTCCTCTGAATTGTGTGCCTTTTTCTTTGTCTGGTTGCTCTAAACCACCTGGCAGTGGACTAGTTTAACACCATCAGCAGCATATTTCGTATACATCCACAAGTAGCACAAATTGAAAACAGCATTGGGGCATTGTGGGAACAGAATGACGCCTACGTGTTCTTGTGTAAGTTTTTCTTCCAAGTCTGAACTTGGATTGGAGCGCCTTGGAAGCATCCTTCCTTGTGCAGGATGCCTGACACCTTAATGTTCCCTACGTGCCCTCCACTGCACCACCGGATTGCTCGAGGCACCTGCATATTTCCAGCAGTGGAAAATGTGAATACGGGGAACTAGACTCCATCAAGACCATTATTAGTAGTCAGCATGCTTATTTCTTCTGCTTGAACATTCAGTTACTGCTGAGCAGCTCTCTAACCGTATGTTGGACCCCACAGTCATAGTTGTTTTCCCCTCTGTGGAGCACTGAAATCCAGACAATGATTACAGGCTATGAGGCAGGGTGGAAAATCTGGCATACGCAAACCACCTGTAATTTGGCAGCTAAAAGCTTTAGCCAGAGGTGTTGGTTCTAAAGCTAATCAGGCAGTTAAGAGACCCCCTCCCTGACAGGGGGTGGGGGGGCTGTGCAACAGCTACTTATGTGTTTTCACAACTGTAATTTGCACTCCAACAGAAACCTGAACACCAGAGCTCCACAGTTCCCAACCAGAGCTGAGAACCTTTTTGTCCAGTAAACTTTCAAACTACAGCATGCAGCGTTTTTCAAAGATGCTTTTTTCTAATTTAAGCTTGACAAAGTGTTTTTTTCTTAAAAAGAAAAACAGTCCGTAGACCAGACCTGGGCAACACAAACCCCCGGACGACACAAAAAACTCAAACTAAACTTTCTTTATAAAACAACAACTGTGAACAAAACAGATTATAACAAGGAGGATTTCGACAAGCTATAAAGACTAAAGAGGCAATCATGTGATCTATTACACCAGTTCTAATGACAATAACAATTAAGACTGAGGCCCATTGTTTTTACACCTCTGCTCGAGTACAAATTAAACAAAGGAGATATGCTAATGAATAAGATTTAGACATTAGGTGGATTTTGTTACCTTTAACACAGTCATCTTAAGAGTTCCCCTTTGTTGCCACTCTTTCTGCAAAGCTAATGTAAGTAGCCACTTGTTGTATCTTTACATTTCATCTAAAGACACGAGTGGCAGCAGATTCCTCATTTAACTCGACAAAAAGGAGAAATAAGCCCATTTCTAAAAATCTCCAACTAATCCTGGGATGTGATATGCGAGGTTCCAGTGATCGTGCACGTATGTAAGAGGTGTTTCTCACAAACGGGAGCTACATGCAGGCTTGGACTGGACTGGGGAATGTACAGAATGTGAACTTGAGGTTTATCTCCCTGTAGCTTCAGCTGTACGATTAAAGAGAGCAGACTGATGTTCTGGCCTGAGGACTAATATATGTAAAACAAACACCAAGGTGTCACGGGTTCACCCTGCTGTTCAAAGATAATAGGTTTAAACTCTCTTAGGTAATGAAATCCATGGCAACCCATTATATAGAAAATCAGAGAGGCCCAATCCAGGCTAATATGTTTAAATGACATCCTATTTCCTTGAAGTCATTAGCGCTTAGGTTTAACATGAAAGAAATGACTATTAGGTTGTATCCATCAGACACTGATAACATAGGAAATTTACCATAAATAGGGGGTTAACTATAATATTACATCATGTCTTTGCTAGTCTCCAGAGTAAATGACAGTTAATTACTTAAGTGGCTAAAAAGAGGACAAAAGTTTTTATGCCAACTTTGCTCATGGAAGACATTCACACTGAAGTAACGTCTCCATTTCAGAGGATCGCAGAGAAAAAAAAAGAAGAAGAAGAAAAGCACCGGCCATGACTTCCTTTAAAAGGATTTTAATCCCAGCGGGAGTTCCTGGTTAAATAAAGGTTAAATAAAAAGTCTAGAGTAGACTAATGTGATCTTATAACTCTGCTTTTCAGTCTGAACAGGTACGGCTAATCCCAATTCCACGCTACAGTGCCTATGGTAATGTGCTGGGCCACAACAACAAGGCAGCAATTATCTCGGAGACTAAGTGAACATTGATTGGACGCAACATCTGCTTTGTGATGAGCTTTTCCTCGAGGGTTCAGAATCACCCAAGAGTGGGGGAAAAGAAAAAAAAAGAAAAAGACTCCAGAGCGCTCACCTGAAATGTTCGGAGCCATTCCTGGAGACCCGTGGGTGGCTGGATTGAGGTGATACGTCGTCTCTGTTGCCCCTGACCATTGGCTGCTCTGATGTGGCCAAATGTGGTGGGTGTGGCCGGACATGGGACAATTCCCGTCGGGCTGTAATTTTAAAAGGGAGGAAACAAAGCATCTTGAAGACCAATGCTGATATGAGACCTTTAAAGACAAATAGCGTAACTAAATTGCAGTCTAAGTAGGGGTGTGGAGGCTGTAAAAGCACTGCTGTCACTGCAATTAAGAAAAACACATGTAAATATTACACATCCCAGCATATTCTTAATGAGAATAACAGGAAGCACATTATGAAGGGGCTTTTTAAATAAGCTTTGCTGCAAACTCTGCTAAATCAAATCAGGCATGGACAAAAAAAAAAAAAACCTTTTACATTCAACTTTCATCTTTTGTGTTATCTCTGACAATTATGACAGCAATCAAGCCCGAGCTTTTATTTTGCAGGCAAATTTTAATTTTTAATTTTTTTTTTTTACTTTAGTGCAATTTTCTTAATTAAATCCATTCTTAGTTATTATTGGCAAGTCATAGGTTAAATCAATTAAACTGACATTTACTTTAAAAATGATTATTGTTTTCAAGCTAATCAGCAACTCTACAAGTAGATCTGGGCATCTTTATCACATCGTAATTACTTTCAAAAAAAAAAAAAGATTATTTGCAGTAAGAAAAAGTTACTCTTCACAAAAGCATTGCAATTAAAAAAAAAAAAAAATTTCCACCTTGTCTGAGTGAATTAGCGCCGACTGATTAACACAAGGCCTCTCTGTATAATGCAATGCAATTCATCACCATTCAGCAGCACAAGCTACAACCTCCAGAATGTGCATTACAATGAATCAACACCTCTTTAAAACCATTTCAACAAAAACTGATCAATACAACCTTCACGGAGACGGGATTTATTGCAGAGGTGCATTTGTTCTCGCTATGCATACTTAATAAAATGGCAAGTGTTATTTCTAACTCAGACTTCAAAGTGTGCACAGTCCCACATATTTCTATTCAGGCCCAGAGTCTCCTGCTGTATCTGGATGCGGAAGGCAGCACAGGACTTCAAAGTGTACCCATGTAGCCTTGTAATGTAAGGGCAGCAGCAGAAGCCATCCACTGGGCACCCTCGATGCCTCACATTCAGCTTGCTGACAGCAAAATGGGAAGCTGGGGGTCGATTTCATTATTGATTCATTTTTAATGGGAGAGGAAGCTGAGACGGAGCGAGTTACATAGCAACATTTACAGTTAAGTGGCTGTGTTCAGTTTGAATTTTAATGGAGCTACATGTGAACACGGGCATTAAATATTCAGGGTAAGAGAAACATCTGGGACCACTGGCTGGCTGGATGGTGCAGACAGAATGGAAGAGGGAGCATCCCTCTGTTTACACATATACAATGCAAACCTTTGTTTATGCCTCCTGGCATTTTTTACTCCTCGCCTTGGTCCCAATTATAACATGTTCAGCATTAAAACAACGGAGGAAGAATTTTTACTTTATAATTTCTACCATAATCTTTTTGATCCTAAGGTGATAAACAAAAATACAAGGGAAAATGAGTCTGTGGATAGCTGGGGTGCCGTATGAGAGAAAAAGCTCTCTTACCTCGGATACTCTGGACCTTTGCAGGGCTTTTTTCCTGAAGGGAAAGATCGGACCTCGGGACCATGGTCCAACTTTCTCTTCATCTGAGGAAGAACAAGGGGAGAAACAAAAACCTTAGTAACAGTGAAAGCACAAAAGTGGGAAATTTTGTATTTAAAAGCTAGAGGCAACCTTTTGGACATAAATTCAACACCATTCTGGTAACTTTCCTTTAGAAACAAAATCTAAACCAATTTAGTTCTAAGACATTAGCCCTTGAAAAGAAAATCAAGAAGGGACACGGGTCAGGGAGCTATTTTTTTAAACTGTGCTGGAAGCAGAACATTATTCCTGCAAGTTACAGACTTTGTTAGCATAACGTCTGAATTTTTGCATATTAAAATACAGACAGCACAGACTTGCAAAAGCTTTATGCAAATGGAAAATTAAACTTTTATGCATGGGCTGGAGATTCAATAATTAACATGTGCCATAACAAAGCACAGAGACATGACCAATCTGTCCGTGACACAGCTCAGCATACACTCTGAGATGGCACATCACAGAAAAGGTGTTTTTCAGTGCTGTGTTTAATTTTGATTGAGAGAACTGAGCAACCAGAAATCCAATAATATGCAATAATAGGTAACCGCACTCACACACAAACTCAAAGGATAAAGCATGCCTGTACGCACAAAATAACCACAAAGCATAACAAGTTTCTCAAGCAGGTACTAAGGTTTATTCTTTGAAATGTGCCAATAATTCAGAAGGAAAAGAAAAAACAAGCAAGTCAGTTCTTTATTATTCTCCATCACCTCCACGTACGCAACACCACCCAGTCCCTGTTACCACCTACCCTACCGTGCAAACAAAGGAGCCTGTGTAGAGGCCCGGGCAAGCCAATTTTCCTCATCCCATGCCTGCCACTTTCTTTGGCAAGGCTTCTCAACACACATGCAAGTGATCACCATCTCATCTCCAGTCCCTCATGAATAAACAATCTAGCTGAATAAATGAACACTGATTTTTAGTGTCTGGCCAAAACAATATACAATCTAACAGCCTGGCCTTGTTCTTTTTAATATTTAAATATATTTCATATTTCAGTGAAGGCTTTTGTAGATTTAAAAGTAAACCCATGGATTCAAAACCAAATCCTTTTCCGATCCTTTTCCTTGTAGCCCAGCTCCTTTGTAATATCAGCAAAAGTATGATGTAAAAAAAAAAATATATATATATATATATATATCAAAATGCACTTTAATTATGCATCAAGTCTGCAAGAAACAAGTATTTTCATTATCAGTTTATAAGCTTATTATTTTCTCAACTTATTTTCCATTAATTTTCTGTTATATTATCCATTAAAAACAATAAATAAAGTGTGTTAGTTTCCCAACTTTTTAACAACTAGCTATCGATGGTACCGAAACCCAGTATTAAACACGTCCCGGGGCTAATTTGCTAAGGAACGGAATATCAGTACACCCCGTTGTCATCAGTATGGCTTTCAAATATATTATTGGTGCAAAAGTTATGTTATAAATTTTACCTGCCCAGTTGCATTACTGACTAAGACTTTAAGCTATGATGCAGTTCTACTAGCTCCCATGCAGAAGAGGGTTCTCTGCATCTTCCTGAGAGCCTGCACGCAAAGAGTGGGTGCAGCTCCGTCTCACCCATCCATACACAGACCCTGATCTTTGTGAGGATGGTGAGGAGAATCAAACACTCAAAAGTGTGGCCGCACTTCGCTGATGGTGCTTGTAGCCACAAATGCAGCAGAACTTTTTCTTGTAAAGGCAGAAACACAAACTGCCTATCGAAACATTTAGTGAAAATCCATCACATTCAGGCAAGGGGACTCAGTTGGAGGTTAGTGATGTGATCTCTGCCTATACAGCCTACTAGAGCTACCCTTGGAAAACATGTAACACATTGTAATGGTCGTCAAACTACATCTATATTGATATTAACTGGGTAGTCAACTCATCGTTGTTATGGGGGGGAAATAGTTATGTTATATACTAATGCACGATATCTTGTTCTTAATTTGAGTCATCTCCAATAAAGTATTGACAATTGAAGCACCAGAAAGATAAGCAGTGCAGCTAAGAGTTATAGTACTGTTAAAATCTCAAGGTACCACCAGCTCAAGGTTAGGGGTCATGTTAGGTCAACACTGGCGAATGGTAATGCTTAAAAAAAAAAAAAAAG